GACCCCTCCTTGGGTTTCCGAGGCAGTATCACTACGGAAGTAGGATTGCCCAACCTTCCTTCCGAGGAGTGGCTGGTGGGTTTGAACCACCACCCGTCTGGTTATATAAAAGCCTCCAGTCACCAGAAGAAAGAAAATAATAAAGATTAGAACAGAAATATATGAAACAGTGAAACAACAGAAAGAATCTACAAGATTAAAAGTTGGTTCTTTGAAAAGATTGTAAAAATCAACCAACCACTGGCAAATATAATAAAGAAGAAGATGCAGATAACACAAAAAAGTAATGAAATGGGCAACATCACAACAGAACCAACTGAAATAAAAAGGATAATATCAGGATACTATGAAGAACTGTACTCTCAACAAATTTGAAAACCTAGGAGAAATGGACAAATTTCTAGAAACACATTACCTATCTAAAATAACACCGACTTGGCTACAAAATTCCAAGACTCATCACAAAAGAAGAAATTGAACAGGGCATAAAAAAAACTCCCAACAAAAAAAGTCCTGGGCCAGATGGCTTCACTGATGAATTCTACCAAACATTCAGAGAAGAGCTGACATTAATTGTACACAAACTACTCCAGAACATAGAAAAGAATGGAATACTTCTGAATTCATTCTATGTAGTAAGCATGACCCTGATACCAAAGCCATGCAAAAACAACACCAAAAAAGAAAATTATAGACCAGTATTCCTCATGAACATAGATGTAAAAATTCTCAACAAAATTCTAGCCAACAGAATCCAACAATATATCAAGAAAATAATCCATCATGACCAAGTAGAAGCATACCAGGTCTTGGAGTATAGTGAATTCCTTGATACCATGGCCCTTTTAGCCACATCTTTGTGATGACTGGGTGGGATTATGCAAATGTGAGGTGCCTGTGGCTCACCAAGGGCACTGGGTAGCAGGCTAATAACAAAAACAAGATGCATGGCACCCTTACTGGTTGGGACCGTGCAAATAAGGTATGTGAAATCCTAACGTGGGGACTGGCCAGTTTTCCATCCTGCTAGGCTTAAAATGAGCTGTCCCAGAGGTAGAAAGGGGAGGAATCTCATTACCACCAGGAATGCAGCATATGTCCTTTGTACCCAAGATTCCTGCGATGAACCTTCTGGATCCAGGAGACAGAGAGCTGGGACACAGACATGATGAGGAGCCACGGCAGAGAAACGGTGGCAGGAGAGGCAGCAGAACCAATAAAACCAAGAGACCAGCATGAGGCAGGGCGGTGGGCTTCCTGGACCACGGAGAGAGAAAGTAGAGTGCCTTGGGCAGGAGGCTTGCTGGTGGAGAGGGATGCCTCTAGCCATTTATCATCAGAGCTACAAGAGCTTTGCAACACTTGCCCAGGCAGGGCAGAGGCCAGGCTGAGGGGCCCACCACCAGGGAGACCTGCCTCTGGGAATGGCTGAGGGAAGGCTGTTCGGATCAAAAAACTGTATCCTGACTGTTCCTGATCCTGAATCGTAACCTATCATATCCCTAATTCTGAGTATTGCCTGGGAGTTCTGTGTGGCCACTCCAACAGACTATTGCACCCAACAGAGAAATACAGAGTGCCATGGGAGGGATGGTTAGTGTCAGAATTGGTACAAATGTTGGAGGGTAGAACATGTCTGACTTCCACCTCATAGAATCAGCCTTGGGCTATTGATGTTGATCTTGATCCTGCTCCCTTTTCTCATTGCGAAGTTACAGGAGGTCAGAGGCTACTCCCATGCACATACCATTTTTGTTGATACGCAACATTAGAAAAACAATCAACATAATCTACCACATACATAAAACAAAGGAAAAGAACCACATGATCTTATCAAATGATGCAGAAAAGGCATTTGAGAAAATCCAACACCTATTCCTGATAAAAACTCCCGGCAAAGGAATAGAAGGGAAATTCTTCAACATAATTAAGGGCACATACACAAAACCAATAGCCAATATTATTCTCAATGGAGAGAGACCAGAAACATTCCCCTTGCAAATGGGAATCAGTCAAGGATGACCTTTATCACTATCCTATTCAATATTGTGGGCAATCTACTTTCATAGAGATTTACAGCCTCGGAAAGCCAACGGAGGTTACTATGAGTCAGAACTGACTCAATGGCAGTGAGTTTGGTTTTTTTGGTTTTATTAAAAGGCATACAAACTGATAAGGAAGAAATAAAACTATCCCTGTTTGCAGATGATATGATCCTGTATGTAGAAAATCACAGAGACTCAACAAGAAAGTACAAAGCAACATATAAAAAGCAATCAGATTTCTCTACACTAACAAAGACAACTCTAAAGTGGAAATCAGGAAAACAATACCATTTATAATAGCTAGCAAAACGATGAAATATTTAAGAATAAACTTTACCAGAGATATAAAAGAGTTATACTAAGAAAACTATAAAACACTACCACAAGAAACAATAAAGACCTATATAAATGGAAGACCACACCAATGTTCATGGATAGAAAGACTTAATACTGAAAATGTCAATACTACCCAAAGCTATTTACAGATGTAAAGTAATCCTGATCCAGATTTCATCATCATTCTTTAAAGAGATGGAAAAACTAGTCACCAACTTCATATGGAAAGGAAAGAGATACCAGATAAGCAAAGTACTGAATTCAAGAAGAAGAACAAAGTAGGAGGTCTCACAGTTTTCAATCTCAAAACCAACTATACAGCTATGATAGTCAAAACAGCCATACAAGGATAGACACACAGATCAATGGAACAGAACTGAGAACCCAGAAGCAAATCCATCCAACTATGGATAGTTGATCTTCAACAAAGGGCTGAAATCCATTAAATGGTATCTAGCAAATGTTGCTGGCAAAACCGGATACCCATCTGCAGAGAAATGAAACAGGATCCATGTTGTTCACCATAAACAAAAACTAACTAAAGATGGTCAAAGACCTAAACATAAAACCTGAAAGTGTAAAGATCATCAAAATCAAACTAAAAAACCCAAATGAGGCAAAAGCAGGGGCCCTAATTTATGGCATATAGTCGACCAAGCACAACTAAAAATGCACAAGCTGCAGAAGATAAACTAGATGAATGGGCTCTCCTGAAAATTAAATATGTAGGAGCATGAAACTACTTCTCTAAACGAGTAAATAGAGGACCTACTGGGACCAGGAAACAATTTTTGGCAATGATATACCTGACATTTATAGAAAACTTCAACCCTCAACAGCAGGAAGACAAATGATCTGATTAAAAAATGGGCAGAGGACATAAACAGACACCTCACCAAAAAAGAAATTCAGGAGACCAACAACCATGAAGCTTGAGATCATTAGCCCTTATAGAGATGCAAATCAAAACAACAAGATATCATCTCACCCCAGTTATAACAGCATAGTTAAAAAAAAAAAAAAAAAAAAGAAAAACAACAAATGCTGGGGAGGGTGTGGAGAGACGGGAACTCTCACATGCTACTGGTGGGACTTTAAAATGGTGTAAAATGGTATGGTGCTTCCTTACAAAGTTAGAAACAGAGATCCTATACGATCTAGCCATCCTACTACTGGGCGTATATCCTAGAGAAGTAAGAGCTGTGACATAAACAGATGCATGCACAGCAATGTTTATCACGGCACTAGTCACAATAGCAAAAGCATAGAAACAACCCAGGTGCCCAGAAACAGATGAATGGATAAACTATGGTACATACATACAATGGAATACTACGCAGCAGTAAATGACGATGAATCCGTGAAACATCTCATAACAAGGATATATCTGGAGGGCACTATGCTGAAATAAGTCAGTCACAAAAGTATAAATATGATATGAGGCCATTATTATAAAAAGCCAAGAAAAAGTTTACACACAGATATTCTTTGATGGTTACTAGGGATGGGAAGGACAGGGAGGGAAAATCACCAAGCAGAGAGTAGACATGTATGAACTTG